TTTTTCTTCTTCTTTTTTTTCTTCTTTTTTTTCGTTTTCTTCTATTGGATCACAATCAACCAATCAATCAACTATCAATCAGTCAATCAATCAATCAATCAATTAGTCAATCAATCAATCAATCAATCAATCGGCCCGTTCAATCAACGAATCGAATCGATTCGTTGATTGAATCGAATCTACATCAAGATTCGATTCAATCAACGAATTGAATCAAGATTCGATTGAGTTAGCGAATCGAATCGATTCGTTGATTGAATCGATTCTTGATGTAGATGATTCAATTGGTTGATTGAATCGAATCTTGATGTAGATTCGATTCAATCAACGAATCGCATCGATTCGTTGATTGAACGGACTGATTGATTGATTGATTGATTGATTGATTGATTGAATCGAATCGATTCGATTCGAAACCCTCCTCGCCCTCCCCTCCTCCTCCTCCTCCTCCTCCTCCTCCTACCTACCTACCCAGATTCCGACTTCCTCCCCATCGTCGACATCCCCTCCTCCTCCCTCTCCTCCTCCTCGTCGTCCTCCTTCTCCTTTTACCTACCCGGATCCCGACTTCCCCCGTCGTCACCATCCCCTCCTCCTCCTCTTCTCTTCTTCTTCTTCTTCTTCTTTTTCTTCTTCTTCTTCTTCTTCTTCTTCTTCTTCTTCTTCTTCTTCTTCTTCTTCTTCTTCTACTACTGATGGATCACAATCAACCAATCAATCAGCAATCACTCACTCACTCACTCAATCAATCAATCAATCAATCAATCAATCAACCAATCAATCATCAATCAATCAATCAATCAATCAGTCCGTTCAATCAACGAATCAAATCGATTCGTTGATTGGATCAAATCTACATCAAGATTCGATTCAATCAACGAATTAAATTGATTCAATGATTGAATCGAATCTAGATCAAGATTCGATTCAATCAACGAATTAAATTGATTCAATGATTGAATCGAATCTAGATCAAGATTCGATTCAATCAACGAATCGAATCGATTCGTTGTTTGAATCGAATCTTGATGTAGATTCGATGCAATCAATGAATCGATTTGATTCGTTGATTGAATGAAATCTTGATGTAGATTCGATTCAATCAACGAATCACTTCGATTCGTTGATTGAATCGAATCTTAATCTTGATTCGGGTCAATCAACGAATTGAATTGATTCGTTGATTAAACAGACTGATTGATTGATTGATTGATTGATTGATTGATTGATTGATTGATTAATTGAATCAAATCGATTCGATTCGAAACCCTCCTCGCCCTCTCCTCCTCCTCCTCCTCCTCCTCCTCCTCCTCCTCCTCTTACCTACGTACCCGGATCCATGCCGCGTCTGCATGCTCGTCGCCCAACACTCCTCCTCTTCCGACTTCCCCCAGTCGTCGACCTCCATCTCCTCCTCCCTCTTCTCCTCCTCTTCTTCTTCTTCTTCTTCTTCTTCTTCTTCTTCTTCTTCTTCTTCTTCTTCTTCTTCTTCTCTACCCTCCCCGCCATATGTATCTCGTCCTCCTCCTCCTCCTCCCCCGCCATATTATCTTCTTCTTCTTCTTCTTCTTCTTCTTCTTCTTCTTCTTCTTCTGTCTGTCTGTCTGTCTGTCTGTCTGTCTGTTTGCCCGTTTGTCTGTCTGTTTGTCTGTCTGTTTGTTTGTTTGTCTGTCCGTCTATTAGCGCAGCGTCTGCCACGTCAGCAGTTGTCTGTCTGTCTGTCTATCTGTATGTCTGTTTGTTTGTCATTCAGTCTGTCTATCTGTCTGTTCGTCAGTCTGTCTGCGCAACAACTGCCACATCAGCAGCTGCCACGTCAGCAGCGGTGCCATGACTGCACGCTCAATTTTTTTTAATTTTTTTTTCATTGTCTTCAGCACGGGTTGCCTTCCATTGTCGCTTGGGAACTTTGGTTATGCAGGACTACCGGCTGCCACGTCAGCAGGTGTCACGTCAGCAACTGCCTGTCAGCATCTGCCACGTCAACAGGTGGCACAGCAGGTGCCACATCAGCAGCTGGCACATCGGCAGCTGGCACATCTGAAGTTGTCAAGTCAGCAGCTGCCACGTAAGTCACTGACACTTCAGCAGCTGCGACGTCAGCAACTGCCACATCAGCAGTTCGCGATTCGATATCTGCCACGTCAGTAGCTGCGACATCAGCAGCCGGGACACCAGTGGAAACATGGCTAGCAGCAGCGCCGCCGGTGGAGTGGGTGGAGCAGCATCAGCTGCCCCTTTCCAGGAGGACAGGAATTACAAAGGCAAGCACGTGGTCTGGACATGGGTGATTGTGGGTCAACTTCTGTCGGGTAACTCTCGTGGTGGCAGCGGGCGATGGAGGAGAATCCTAGGGACGAGGATAACGCCCGTGCGGTGGAGGAAATTGCAGGCGATGGAGGGGGAGGAGGCTCCATGGATGAGAAGGTTGAGGAGTTGGGCGGTGGCCATCCTGTTGCTGGTGGCTAGGAGTGCACGAGGGGGGGTGTGACGGGTGGAGGCRCAGCTGCGGGAACACCTGCTTCATCGCCGATAGTGCGGCAGAGGGACCGCACRCTTATGCAGTCGAGGCAGACGAGCATCGTGAGGTATGCGAAGAACCCGAGGCAGCAGGAGATTGATGACTCCTGTTGCGAGTTCTTCGTAGAGAACGCCATCCCRTTCAATGCCGCCAAAAGCAAGAGCTTMAAGAAGTTCACTTTGGCGAGCTACGGGCCGCAGTCATCGACGAAGCACCCTCTTGTGCCCACCGGGTAAAACCTGCTAAGATGTCGACTCCTCGATCGGTTGCACGGRAGGCTGGAGGATGAGGACGAGGCGATCCGGGCAGACTGGGAGGTTAGAGCGTGCACGTTCATAACTGATGGCACCACAGACATATGTGGGCGATCACTTATGAACTACATCCTCGCAGGGCGGTCAAAGCCGATCTTCATCAAGTGCGAGGATGTGAGCGAGGGGGATAAGGACTCAGTTGCAGTCGTCGTCGGTTGGAAGAGGTTCTTCAGGGAGTGAGGGGTGGAGAAGATCACCGCGATCTGCACGGACTCCTTCGCAGGGAAYACGAGTGCTCCCAGGATGTTGAGGGAGGATCTTGAGTTTGCGCAGATCTACTGGATCCCTTGCACTGCCCATTGCATGAACCTCCTCATGCATGACATCTGCAAGCTGCAATGGGCCGCCGACATCATCGACAAGGCAAATAAGGTGGTCAACTTCTTCCGACTTCAAAGGTGGCCACGATCGCTGTTGAGGACGCAACTGTTGCAGTCTCCAGAACTTGAGTACACGTGTCTGCTTCGCCCTGCTCATACGAGGTTTGGGACCCACTACGTGATGCTGCAGCGTCTCGTGGTCTGCGCAAAGRCCATCACATGTATCGTGAATGGACTTGCTTGGGAGAACATGGTGTGGTGAGGGGACATTAGGGACAAGGCCTTCTTCGTGGAGGATTGTTCTTGACAAGGCCTTCTCGGCTGCTGCGAGAGGTGGACAAGGACGTCCATTGCCTGTCCCGCATCTACGACATGGCCTGTCAGTTGCCAGTTTTCATTCGTGCAGCCCGCCTCACTGAGGAGGAGCGAGATGAGATCCTGTCGGCAATGGCGAACAGGACTGACATGCTGCTTAGCCCAATCCATGTTGTTGCCCGGCTGCTGGACCCTATGTTGAAGGACATTGCTGTTTTCAGCAAAGTGGAGCTTATGGCACAGTTCAAGAGCGTTGTGGAGCAACAGGTGGGGAAGAGGGGGAGCCAGAGGTTCACGGACTGCATGGACCAGCTCTATGACTTCCAGTTCGGAAACGGGGTATTTGGCTCCGATCGTGCAGTGCAACGAGCGTCGAAGGATAAAGTGGTGTTGTGGTGGGAGGCACACGGGGCTGACCATCCAGAGATCAAAACTCTGTCTGTCAAGGTGATCTCCACCTGGACAACTTCCTCTGCAGCTGAGAGGAACTGGAGTACTTGGGCTCTTCTGCAGACCAAGTCCAAGAACAAATTGCACCACCAGCGCACCGAGAAGTCGGTGCACTCGCAATGGAGCCTCAGGCTCAAGAGCAGGGGTAACGATGGCCCCACTGTGGAAGGAGGGTAGTTGGGGCCGGCAGCGGACTGGCGGACGAGGATTTGGAGGGCGATCAGGTGGATGTAACAGACGTTGTTGACGATGGTGCGGTCGATCCTAATGACGGCCGTTCGGGTGCAGGCAGCACCAACATTCGGCGTGATCCTGAAGTGTCAGGGACTTCGGCATCCGTGGACAGGTTAGGGGACGTGGTGGAGGGTGAGGAGGAGGTTGAGCACGAGGAGGACATTCCAAGCGAGGGTTGGGTGGATGAGAGGTCAGACTCGGACAGATCGTGGACCGGGAGAGAGGAAATCACCTCGTATATCCTTGACATGCGATCTGGATTGAGGTCTCAGAGTCTGCAGGAGCAGGAGGCGCCATATCGTCATCACGATCAGGGTGAGGGGGCCGAGGAGCAGGACGGTGGTATTGAGGAAAATGAGGATCAGCACGATGGTCATGGGGCGAATGAGGAGCAACACGGTGGTGATGAGGATGGTGTTGGGCAAGGGTGTGGGGAACAGCATGGGCAGGAGGGCTAGGGGGTCGAGGAACAGCACGGGCAGGAGGGGCAGGAGGAGCAGGTGCAGATGGGTAACGAGAAGCAGATGCAGGGCGAGCGAGAGGACGATGTGCAAAGAGAGCCGCGCTGCCAAAATGTCGAATCATTTTACGGTCCCAATACGGCATCGCAACTCATCAGTCGACTTGGTGCACAAGTTTGTGTGGGATTCGCTGGGGTATCGTGCTTCACGTGGCAGAGGGCGCCCACCTTCAGGACGTGCCAGAGGGCGCTCCGACGCCAGAGGTGCCGCTCAGGGGGCTGGGCGAGGCAGAGGGCGAGGCAGAGGGCGAGGCAGAGGGCGGCCGCGGAAGCAGCAACAGCCACGTCTTGATCCTCAGGCAAAGTCTGATGATAATTCTCATGAGAGTGCACCTCTGCACAGATCAAAGAAGAGGAGGAGAGAGAGAGAGAGAGAGAGAGAGAGAGAGAGAGAGAGAGAGAGAGAGAGAGAGAGAGAGAGAGATCAGACAAACTATTGTGTTCAGATGTCATTTCGTGTCTGACTTTTCCTTCTGTAAAATCCCCGAGGTGTCGTGCCCGATCCTCCTAATGACCTGTGTCTGCAGACTTTGCATCCACTCCTCAATGTGCCCGAGTTTCTGTGTTTCTGTGTGTGCGTGTGTGTGTGTAGAGACGAAGTGTCAGTGTGTATGTGTGTGTGTGTGTGTGCAGAAGCCGAGCACAAGTTTGTATGTGTGTGTGTGTGTGTATCTGTCGGTCTGGTGGTCTATCGGTCTGGCGGTTTGTCTGTCTGCTGGTCTATCGGTGTGTGTGTCACTCTGTCTGTCGGTCTGTCTGTCGGTTTGTCTGTATGTCGGTCTGTATATTTGTCTGTCTGTCTATCTGTCTGTCTGTGTGTCTTGCTGTCTGTTRATCCGTGTYTGTTTGTCTGTCTGTCTGTCCGTCTGTCTGTCAGTTTGTCTGTCCGTGTATGCGTGTCTGTCGGTCTGTATGTTTGGTTGGCTAGCTGTCTATCTATCTGTCTATCTGTCTGTCTGTCTGTGTGTCTGGTCAGCAGCTGCTATGTCAGCACCTGCCACGTCAGCTGTTGCCACGTTAGCAACTGCCACCTCAACAGTTGTCTGTCTGTTTGTCTGTCTGGTCAGCAGCTGCTACGTCGGCATCCGCCACATCAACAATTGTCTGTTTGTCTGCCTGTCTGCATGTCTGTTTGTTTGTCTGTCTGTCTGTTTGTCTGTCTGTCTGTCCATGTATCTGTATTTATCAGTCTATCTGTTTGACTGTGTGTCTGTCTGTCCGTCTGTCTTTCCGTCTGTCTGTCTGTCTCTCTGCTTAGCAGCTGCCACGTCGGTAGGTGCCAAGTCAACAAGTGCCACGTCAGCAGTTGTCTGTCTATCTGTTATCTGTCTGTCTGTCTGTCCGTCTGCATGTCTGTCTGTTTGTCTGTCTGTATGTTTGTCTCTCTGCTCAGCAGTTGCCACGTCGGCAGGTGCCAAGTCAGCAGGTGTCACGTCAGCAGATGTCTGTCTATCTGTCTGTTTGTCTGTCTGTCTGTCTGTCTGTCCGTCTTTCTGTCTGTCTGTCTGTTTCGCTGTCTGTCTGTCTGTCTGTCTGTCTGCCTGCTCAGCAACTGCCATGTCAGCAACTGCCACGTCAGTTGTTGTCTATCTGTTTGTGTGTGTGTGTGTGTGTGTGTGTGTGTGTGTGTGTGTGTCTGTGTCTGTCTGTTTGTCTAGCGAGCTGTTGAATGCATGATCATGTGTGAGAGAAAAAAAGAGAGAGACTGCGTGGTGAGAGAGAGAGAGAGAGTGCACAGTAAGAGCGAAAGAAACTGCGGACAAAGGAAGAAGTGTGAGAGGTAGTGAATGAGAGAAAGAGAGAGAGAGGGCTGCATTAATGATGTCCRTGACGRCGAAGTGTTGTCAAGCACCTAATCATGGGCAGTACCCTGACCTTAAAGTGCTCCAAAAGAGTGTTGCAGTAATGTTGTCCGTGGTGTCGAAGTCTTGTCAAGCACCCAATCCCGAGCTRTAGCCTGGATTTCAAGTGCCCTGAGAGAGGGCCGCATTTAYACTGCTTTACCGATTGGCGTAGCCATTTATTAATTTAATTATTTTGAAAATATATCAATGACTGCTTCTCAAAATTTGCATCTGTTGTCCCGTGACGGTAAGGCTTGTCAAACATTTGGAGTGCTATCAAGCGTCAAATTACGATCACCCGAGTTCCAAGTGCTCCGAGAAAGGGCCGCATTACACTACTTGACTGATCGAAGAGACTAGTTATCCATTTAATTATTTTGAAATAATATCAGAATTTGTCACTTGATGATGAAGTCCCGTCAAACATCCWATCAAGAGTTGTAGCCCGACTTTCAAGTGCCCTGGGAGAGAGGGCCGCATTACTTTGCCCTACCAATTAGGGAGACCATTTATTAATTTAATTATTTTGGAAAACATATCGAAATCGGCTCCCGAGATCTGCATTTGCTGTCCTGTGATTGCGAAGTGCTATCGAGCATCTAATTACAGACAGTTCCCTAACTTTAAAGTGTCTTGTGAGAGGACGACATTACACTGCACTACTAGATAGCTGAAAATGACATTTGCTGATTTATCTGCTTTGAAAATATTTCAGACGACCTGTCTGCTGGTGCGACCAGGTTTGTTCAAGGGGAAACCAGCCAGATGGTGGAGCAATGAGAACAAAGGGACAGTGAGAGTGACAGAGAGAAGGAGAAAGAGAGACTGCGCAGTGATAGAGAGAGAGAGAGAGACTGCGCAATGACAGAGAGGGAGAGACTGCTCAGTGACAGACAGAAAGAGAGAGTGTGCGGTGACAGAGAGAGAGAGAGACTGCGCAGTAACAGAGAGAGAGAGAGAGAGAGAGAGAG